CCAGCAGAAACGAACAATCTGTGCAAAACATATTTTCTACCGCTGTTCATAAGGAAAGCCTAATAGGAATGCCAAGGTCTTCCCAGAAATCATTGATTAACTTTAGAAAGGCAAAGGGAAGAGGAACAAGCTCACATGCAGACACATCGAGCTGAAGGGATTTGTTGCAGGCATCTTAAAAGCCTTTTTCTCCTTCTAAAAGACAAGTGCTGGAAATGCCCCCAGCAATTTTTCAGCCATGGGGATCAGTTTCACGACCATCTCACCCCCATGAAGCAGGGCTGAGCCAGCACTGAGGACCTGGAGGCTACACCTCCCACAACACATAGCCCCTCAGTCCCACCGGCACCAGACAGGAAAGGATGGGAGCAGGAGACAGCGCAGTATGTGGCAGTCAACGTAAGGAACATGAAAAGAAGCAAAATCTGCTGCTCCTCCCTTTCTTGAATATATCAGGTTTTGGGGGAAGTTCTTCTCCCACTCTACAGTTTCAGCATAAGTTTTACATTTTTCAGGGACAGTAAGTAAAAGCAGATCTGTCCTATGAAAATGACTGCACTCCGGACAACAAACTGCCTGCTATCTATTTACACTGTGAAACAGTCATTAAACACCAACCACCAATCCACTGTTAAGGGACCCATCTTGATAAACGCTAGACAAACCAAAACAACTTCACAGTCTCCCTCCCTTGCTGAATGGGGCCATCGGTCATTTTTCAGTGGTCGTTTGTTACACTGGTTTATCCAAGATATTTATAATCATAATGAATTGAGATAAAACATCTTTGCCTGCGAGTAATCTAAACTGAAAAGCACATGACAGAAAGGCTAGATTGATAGCCAGTGCAAAATAACTCCCTTGAGATTAATACATTTTATCCTGTTGATGTTTCTAGTCATAATTATACTCCAAGAATACACTAAATTATGTGAATGAGCACTTAAGAGCAGTCACTTTCCTTCTAGGAAAACTGCATTTGTTTGAAACAGATACAGAGGGGAAGGGACAGCTGACAACGAAACTTAAAATATATCACCACACTGCTACTAATATGCTGATTATGCAAATAAAAACATAAAACTTCCTTGAAACATCCTCAAATACATTAAAAAAAAATAAAATATAACAAGCAATTTTTAAAATGACCAGACTTTAAAATCACTAAAAATGGAGTAAAGATTTTAACTCCAATGAGTCCAAACTCCATCCAAAACCAGGGCAGCTCTGAAGTCAGACGATGACTCCAGGGCTTGTCCAGCTTGCAGGAACAACATGGGATTATTCCTCCCCACGTGCAGGATTTTTCCCTTTGCTGAACTTGATGAGGGAGTTAGAGGAGGTGAGACAAGGGCACACCGGAGGTCGGGAGACTGCAGAGATGGGGTGAGCTCTGGAGAGTTCAGGAAACACCCCCTTGTATTGAGTCCAGCCCTCTAAACAGCTGAGCCAAAGATTGCTCTTGCGTTTGGTTTTGGGTGGTTTTGTTATGTTTTTGGGTTTTTTTGTTGGTGGTTGGTTTTGTTTGGTTTTGACTTTTTAAAGAGATGACACACAGGTTGCATTCATGAGACAGCAATACTTCCCTGGGCTTATCACACAGACCTCTTCAGAAAACAAGAAGTCATCTCCTACCACCACTGAATTCAATACACTGTGTTGTTTATCATTTTTTGAGCATTAAATAACTTAGCTCATCATTAAGCCTGGTCAACTGAGATGTCCCAGTAGTATTTCCACAAACTGCTTGTGAAACCACAGTGTGAGTGGAAGATGGCACCCCAGACCACTTGTTAAGTACAACCCAGACCCGTCTTCCCAATCTGAGCAACCTCTTTTACCCCTTACTCTTGCTTTCTGACCTTCTTTTAGTCCTGTCCACTTGGTTTTCACTTAAAGTCTTGATCTTTATTTTGCCCAGGACTTTCTGAGCTATAGTTCCACCCTGTCAGTTACTTATTTTTTTACCAGCTCCTACCCAGGTCTCTCATCTCCATACATTCACATTCAATCACCATAGACTGAAAACCATAAACTTTAAATGTCAGATTCAATAGAGAACTGAACCTCTGGATTCAGTCAGTGTTATTATGGAAAACACAGAAGCACTGTAAGCTGCATACATTCAATATATGTGCATGGCATCGGGTTTACTTTGCATATTTCTCGTTTTTCTGGGAAGGATTCAGCTGACCCCATTTTATGAGACAAAAATTTATGTTCATGTTTCCTTCCTTAGTTGCATTTATGCTTAGATATCAGGTATTTATATAAAACCACATTTACAGATATATAACATGGTCTGAGGAGACCAACAAAAACCTAAAATGTAACAATATAACATACAGATGACGCAACCCAAGTTCTTTATACCCCCAATGATATACCAGCATATTCCTGTTAGCAAAGGAAAACTTTCAAAACTTGGTTAGCAAAGCAGCAACAAAGTGAAAGGCTGAGGCTGGGTGCTGGGTGAAATCCAACCTCTTTCCTATTGAAGCCAGAACCTTATCAACTTCTCTAAACAGTGATCACAGAGAAGTCCTCTTCACCTCTATTGCTTAAGTTTTCTGGAATCAGTCTTCCCAGAAAAGGAATTTTTAGCCTCGAACTTTGAATTCCTCCACATAGCCACATTTTTTTCTCATTCAGCAATGTGATTTGATCATGGTACTTTCCTAATATAAAATATTAACAGCTGGATTCAGAGCCTTACTTTTGCAAAAACTGCCAAACAGAAAGCATGCAAAGAAATAACTCGGCATCCCCTCCCTTATCTGCACATATTTTGTGCAGCTTCCCCATGATTGCTGCAGGATGTTATCAGAAGGGCATGAGAGAGTGCAACTATGGCTTGACAAGAAAGAGGTCACCCTGTTCTCCTGTTCTTCCTTCCTTCTGCCACCACTCTGCATCGAATCAAAAAGACAAAAGCAAAGAGAGGAACAGAGATACAGAGCTAGCAGCGCTAGCCACACTCTTTTCCAAGAAACTTGGGAAAAAGCCAGGTGAGTCTAAGAGTCATGGTGTTGCCTGATCTCAAAGCCTTCCCTCCACTGTGCAGACTCTGGTTATGACAGTCCCTCTCAAGGATCTGACAAATCCTTAACTGCCCTGGTGTCACTTCCCAAGCCAAATACCTTAGACAGTCCTCTAGTCTGGTCCAGTTTATCCTCAATTCAATGCAAAACACTACCATATTATGGTAGCACTGCTCTGTGCTGTCTTCTGGATAGTATGTAGAGTCCACTGTACCATAATAATATCCAAAGGTAGCTTACAGATAGTTAGTTTGGTCTTTGCACCCTCTCACACTTTCTGCCAATAAAGAGCCTGCCCAAGTTTGTACACACAGGATCTTATCACTGCAGTTCTGGAAGATGCAAGCAATGTTTGGATGGTATCACTTTTTCAATCTGCTATTCATAGCCAGGAGGCTGAGCAGGGAAGTATTTCCTCTGCCACGATGCAAGCCCACCCCGAGCTATCAGACGTCTATATGGACAGCAGCCATCAACATGTCAGCAATCAAACCAAAGAGAAATTCCTTAAGACTTTGTGTGCTGGTTTTAGCAGGCAACAACCGCTGTTCCACATCTAGGCATACAGAGTCGCTGATCCCATGGACAAATGGTGTACAGTACTGCAGAGCTACTAATAACCACTCACTGTCTCTATTAGGGCTAAATTTGGATTCTGGATCCCAGGATTCTGGGACTTGCGATGTGTAAAGCGAATATTCTATAGATAATTCTATCTAATGATTGTTTCACTGGCTTATTTTGAGAGACTGGATTCAAGGACACAGATGATTCCCTCAAGTCTTACGCTTCTTGGGAATCTGGAGGTAGCTAGGATCAGCATGTCCACCACCTGGAAGGAGTACCCAAGAAGGAATTAAACTTTCCTGTACCCAAGTCAGACATTGATAAACTGCAAAACTTCCAAATCACTGAAAGTTTGATAAAATGAAATTATCACTGAAGTAAGTGAAGGAACAACCTCTGTCCTTCTGAACCACCCTGCTCAAGTTAGTAGAACTACAGACTTATATTTCTGGTATTGAACTGATAGCACACTTCTGAAACAATCTGGGGGGTTTGCTGTTTTTTTGATTATTCAACCCCTGAATCCCAGTCAGGGGTAGGAATAAAGCTCTCTAGGAAACAGGATTTCCACCATAACATATTCCTCTTTGACTACTAGATTTTCCAGAAGGCCATATTTAACTGAGCTGCTATGCAGCATCCCGCTGGACCGAGACCTGTATCCCACTGTACCCTGCATTTGTCATTATAATTCATTTGTTCCAGTGCAAGCCCACCGGTAGAGTCAGCTTTGTTTAAACAGCCTGGGCAGGAATTGGTTAATGTAGTATCCCAGCCAAAGCCTGCAGTTCACAGCTGCTGACAACTTAGACAGACAGATGTCAAGGCCTACTGAATTTGATCATCTTACATTACCGATAAAGTCGGTAAAGCACAGAGGTCCACGAACAGCTTCTTCCCTTTTAACTAGCACAGAATATGCATGCCATAAGACAGACATCTGTCTATGTCAAGAAAACAAAGCACCAAGATACTTTCAAAGACATCACATCCTATCGGACTTCTTAAACAGCATTTGTCAATATGCCACCCCACAACGTATTAAGCTTCATACCAGTAGCTGTAACGGAAGGCAACGCCTCTCTCATTCTCCATTCATCCTGGCACATAAGAATAACGAACACCACTATGCATCAGCCCACCTGGCTTCAAAGGAATTACTTATTTCCTTAACGTATTACTGGGTTCTTCCTTTGAACATTCAGGTTTGGTCACAAACTGTTGCATTAAACTCCAGCTGTGTTAAACTATAGTATTCCCCTGCCTGAAAGACAATATGGCATATGAAGCTCAGACCAGCAATTTAGTCTATTATGTTTTGTAACACAACATAAATTTTTGATAATAGCAGTAACATGTATAATGCATATGGCTGTAAAAATATCAACCGACTTTTATGGCTTTCCTCTTCATATGAATATTCAGTCATCCGTTTGTCCCTAGATCCACTTCAATCCTGAAAAAGAAAAGATTAAGTAATTTAATTGATGTATTTTCTTAGATATTCATTAGTTTCTCAAATATTACTGTAAATAAAAACCCTAACCACCAACATCTGTTCCATAGTAGAACAGAGGTCAGAAGAACAGGAAGTTTATAAGCACTTTAAATAAAACTGGATAAATATGACAAAAAGTATATTGGAGAAAACCTTGTGTTTCCTCTTAACTAATGATTTCAGTCAATGCTCTCAGTGTCTCTAATTTCTGAGCTGCTACTTAAGCACACTAAATCACAACTGCCTTAACTAATCTTCAGGGCCCATTATGTATCAGTACCCTGCATCTGTACAGGTAAAGACAAGAATTTTCCAGCAGTTTCCGAGTGTCAGTATTCTTTACTGGTATTTCAAAATGTTTTTCCTAGAAATACTATTCGAGATCTGAGCAACAAGGCATTAAAAGCTGAAATACATTTATTAGTGAGTTCAGTCAATACTCCAGCCACAGGAGGTAACTGTGCAAGACCATTACAAAATTTGAATACTTATTTCCTGAAAGGTTTCCTATGGGTACATGATTATTTTAGTTATGTTTCCATATTAATCTATAAAAGAAAAATATATAAAGAGATTTAAATATTGTATTATACTTTTGGAAGGCTCCTTCAGGTTTAAGAAAATTTACTAATCCAGTAGCCTAACTTTTTTAAAGCCTGGGAGAAGGGGGAAGCGGGGAGAGAAGCTTCACATGTCCAAAATTTAGATAATAGACAGTATGTCTTAAAACCTCTTGCCAGAATACGTGCATGTATCTGGAAGCAAACGCTACATACTTATGTCTCTTTTAATAATGGAAATGGTGTGAAGTCAAGAATCTAAATCTGCTGTCAGAGTTATTATAAACAATCTGCTGTTATTTTTGTATCATTCAAAATAAGGTCATCCTTCAAACAGCAGCGGAGCATCACCTGCCCGCTTTTAAACCACAGTCCAGTATTTCATTACTGCTGTATATACGACAACTTGACTAACAGGTTTCCAAACACTAAGCAAACTTCTACACTGAAAAAAAGACAAGAAGCTCCCTTCAGCATATAAAATTCATAAATACTCATATATTTTTTCTACTATTATACTGACTAAATACCGTGCACTTAATTTTATTTCTAACAAAATATCAAGGTTAATAGAAAAAAGTAAATTCAAATATTCCTATGACTTACAAAAGGCTGCAAAATCACCACAAACTAAACGTAACTAAACGTAATTAAATACTGTAGGCTTAGAGCACCCTAACTATTCTAGACCGTTTGTACCATCGCTCATGCCTCTTGCAGACTCCTTTTTCTTGTTTAATCTCCCTTGGGATTATCTGGATTTCCTAAAAATTTCCATTTCATGAGGCAGATTTTCTTTTTTTTTTTTTTTTTATTTTAAACTGCACACTCAAAGAACCACCTTTGAGCCTTTAGCTGCTCCTTCTCTGTGCTAATGTCCAAAAATGGGACTAGTGGACCAGGTTTTCCATACGCTGGACTTACATGATGGTAGTTATCTAACCTGAGCAGGAAATACTCAAGTCATCAAGTTCTCTAAAATAAAATGTAATGCATTCAAGAGCTTCCTGGAGTCTCTGTCAGAGGAAGACAGCGTTTGACCTATCACTGTTTCCAATTCTCCAGGTTTTCTCATTATTACTCTTCCCTAAATGCACACAGACATTCTCGCTCCTGCAACACAACTTAGCCTCAAGTTACACAAGAACACTAAGTCCTATTATGTTACCGTGGCTATGGTGACAAGAGCAAACATGGGTATGTGTTTCATGCTAACACACCTCTATCCAACTAGCCACAGCAGCAGCTGGTTTTGTGTTATTAAATCATACACAACCACCCTTGTTACGAAAAAGCTATTTCATTAGCAATGACAAATAACTGGGTTTGCTTATTAATTATCTTCAGGTCTGCACTATTTATCAACCACTGAATTGCCCACGTCCTTGCATCACCAGGGTGCTCCCCTCCATGACAGGGCTTTTGCTTGTCCTTCTCTTCACCAAGCACAAGCCAGGTACGCTACAAGCTCTGGCATCGCAACCATCCCACAACGCTGCTCCACCATGACATACACAGTCTGGGGACAGGACAGGGTTTATCCCCTGGCACTGACCACCAGGGTGACCAAGAGCATTAATTATGGTGGCCAACGCACACTTTCCACACATGCCATCCATACAGGCCACAGGCCTCTTTGCTCCAACTATTTCGGATTGCTTTTGAGGAGAAGATGAAGAGCAAACCATTTACATGAAAAACATTTAAACAGTAACTTCACAAATACATTTCCTGATTTTCAGAAAAGGTTAAAATATTCAGCTTCAGATGAAAAGACTTCGAAATGCATAAGAAAAATAGGACCATCTGCCCTTACAGATATAGTGCATCCATTCTGCCACTAAAAGAGGCCACTCTTTGTGTAGAGGTGCCCTTGCCTCCACAAACAGAACATTTTTGAATATATAAACCTATGTTAATTCATTAAAAAACAAGTTCATGCTGGGATCACTTTCACATCTCTTTACATACTGCTAGTTTTTAAGTAAATTCCCATTAATGCAGTTACACATTATTCCTCATGCTGTTCTCCCCCTTTTCTAATTCAGATTGATATGGGAACATCCACTTGGAAAAGAACAACTCATTTGCAAAGTTAAGTCATTTGCTGAATCAGGATTTATTAACTTCTCCCTCTACAAAGCAAATCCCATATTTGGGCACAACCACGTTTCTTAATCTGCACTCGCATTTCTGCAATCCCTTTCAAAGGCCCTGAGTCATACCAGACTTCCCCAAAGACAGAGCACAACTTCTCCCACGCTCACAAAGGGGCCACGAACATCAGGTAAGACAGGATCACTGAAAGCACGGTTTCAGCAAGGTACAGAGACAAAGCAACCCAGGTTATCCTGAGGATGGCTACCTTGACATTAATAGCAGCCACATACTTGATCTTTTTTCCTGTGCTTCCAATTCTTTCAGGGAAACTTGTAAATTCCATAAAACAAACATTCTCCAGAAGGTACAGGTAAAATATACATTAACCACGAGCTACAGATTTGCAATAGTCCTCAACATTTAAAATCAGTAACGACAGGAGAGGCTGAAACTCAGTGCAGCATTGCACTGAATCAGCATACCCAAAAATCTACCTAAACTACACTTTGAGTGTCTACCTTTCTTGTCTTGGGTTTAGCCCTCAGGATGTTTGTAAACTAAGTTCTGTACCTGAAACTAGACAAAATACTTTGCCACAAAGTCGTCTGCAGAAAGTTAAAAAACTTTAAATTCCAAGATAAGCCACTGTCCCACCAGCAGCCATCACAAACTGCAAGATGAACTGGGTAATACAGCTTAAAATGCACTCAGTTTGCGATAAGTTTAACTGCTATGTATTTTCTAGACCTCAGAGGACCAAAGGAGCACTTGCTACGCATTTGGTTACTCACTAACTGCAGTCATAAGGTTTATTCTGTCCTCAGAAGTTTTGCTGGTCTCTGATAGTGATTTCTGTTTGAACAAGGCAAGCGGAGTTACTTGCTTTAAGATGCCAGCCCCCCTCCGCCAACATCTTTGTTGCTCTGATGTAGTGTCATAACAAAAATATCTTAAGCTGCTCAAAATATTTCTAAAAATTAACTTAATGCCTCAACTTTTGGTTCTCCCTGGTATTTTAATAAAAGTAAAGAGGAGCGGGAGGCAGAGAGTGGGATGCTTGTTGCTAGGCAATACCTAGCTCTCTTGAACTCCTACAGACTGAAATATTTATCCAGACTCCCACCAAGAATGACATCTAGCATAGAGAAAAAAGAGACACATGCACTTACTAAAGTACATCATGATTCAAGGTAAGAAGTAGCAGCTCTGCCACCAACTCAGTCCCTGGAGCACCTAAGCTGAGGAGGCTGCAGTCTGGGATGGGAGGGTGATGGAGCTCTTCCTGAACATCTACCCTGATTTATTTCAGCTGAGTCTCATGGGGTGATGCCTCCAGAATGACTTTGATGCCACTGGGCTCTTGGCAGCATAAAAAAATACATCCTTTGCTCAATCTGACTGTAAAGTTCTGATGTTTTTCTGTTGTTTGGGTCTTTTTCTCCCAAATCATTATACTTCAATAACAGGTTTCCACAGAGAAAAGCATGCACCTGGCCAGATGTTGATGAATGATTCATTTAACCAAACATACAAACTTTAGGCCATGCTCCTCCCCCTCCTCCCTTTAAAAGTTTATTCAATGATTAAACTTTCAAGGAGTGGCTTACACAGTCTTTCAGTAGAGACTTAAGAGTAATAAACATTATTCTTTAAGGGGTCTTTTATTTGACATTAATGAATTATTTTGAACTGAATAGCTTCAAGGATAAGTTCCAGACTTTCTGGGACTTAAAGATGAATTTTGAGGACTCTGTTCTCTCTAAAACTTACGGGTCTGGTTCGACAAAGTTATAAACAAACAGGCTACATTTCATAGTTTTTGAGACTTACTAGTCTGGGAAATATGATATCTTTCAGTAATATTTAAAAAAACCCTGCAACTGTATCAATGTACACAACTAAAATTAGAAAATGTGTGCACCTTGTAAAAAAAAAAGACTTAGTTAAAACCTGGAGAAGTAATGGGGTCCTCAAATCTCAAATGCCTGGATTTCGGTAATAATCAGCAGTCAATCTAGAAGACTGCAATAAATTGCAGGGAGAGAGGAGAATGCAAGAAAATACTAAATCCCCTTAAAGTTTCATTCTAAAAGTAGTTATCTTTGACACTCTCAGTTGTTTGAATTGATAGCTCTGAAACCTTGATACTCCCTTCACAACTCTAGTTTAAATAGAATGACATTGTTTTTCATTAGATCTAAATAAAAGAGAATGTTGATAAACACAGCCACACATCACTTTGGACAGCTTCTGTGACATAAGGAAATGTTCACGTTACGGTGCGCATGCTCAGCACAAG